ATCCCTAAAGGTTTAAGTTACGCCCCAAGAGGAGCGCCACTAATCAGTAATTAAATGCCTTCCTCAACCGTTGGTCTGTTTGGGGCGCGAACAAAAAAACTTCGCCAATTGTCTCTCTACTTTGCGAGGCTGTACTATTTGTACATCGCGAAAATATTTTAAAACTAAAACTATCTTGAACCTCTCTCTTGTGATACTTTTTCATATTATGTACATGTAGTTTAGAAAGAAGCCATTTCAAAATCATTTCGATTGATACCCATATTGTAATAATTCATTGAAATGATTGAAAATTTTGAATTTTACTTTTTAAACCGTTAATTCCTATAATTCACATTGAATTTGAATTTTCAAACATAAGTCCCTGCTATACATATGTTGCTTAGAAATAAAGCCTTTTCAAGACTCTTCGGAATAAATTAAATTAATTTAAGTTTTAAACGGGTGGCAACGCTTGTACAACATCTTAATAATATTTTAAATGTTCAATCTGAAGGTTTCTTAGCAATCTTTCATTTGACAATCATATATCAATTTTACAGGTAGCTTGCGAACAATTAATCTAAATTTGGCTTTTTGAACAGGTGGCAACCCTTTCCAAAATACTTTCAAACTACAACTTTTTTAAGCCTCTTGTCATCCATTCTTTAATATAATTTTAAAATAAATAATTATCTTAATTCAAGTCGAATTTGATTTTTTGACAGGTGGCAGCCCTCCTCCATGAGTATGGAATTAATTTTATTTACATACGTACATATATGTATCTATACCCAGTTCCTGTACTCTATCAAAAATATCTTCTGAGATATGATATGCGGTATGAAAATTCGCGTTTTATGGGAGGTGCCACGCCCCCTCGTGTAATCGAGATCAAATCTGTCCTATATTTTAAGTTGGACTAAATGGACCAGTGTACAAAATTTAATGGGAATCGGTTGAGTAGTTAAAACGTGAAAGCGTAACAAATAAACAAACTCAATTTCGGATTTATAATATTAGTCAGGATTTTTTATTAATATTTAATTATCTATTTAGGTCACCCATTACCACCTGGCTGTTGACCTTTTGTTGTTATTTGTCACCTGAATTACACACTTATGTATTGCAAAATTTAACTTCTCGATTTGCTTTAATTTTGTTTTTTAAATTATTGCTGCAAATCTAGTGCATTTGATCTTAATTGGACACATGCGCCAACAATGTATGTATACAAAACTTTTATTTTATTTTAATTTTTTTCAAAACAACTCATGTCCGTCAAGATATGTCCAGTCATGGAAGGCAGCTCGAAAAATTTTGTAATTCCTTTATCAATTCTGGTCGCAGCCATGATCACGATGAGAAGTTAAATATGGTAGTGGGCAAGCGATAAATTGCAACTGAAAGTGTGTATATGCTCTAAGCATTCAACGTAGATTTGATTGTACACAGCTAAGGCAGCTAGCTGTTGAGTTGCTTGGGAGGAAGCAGGAAAATAATTTAAGTTAAGTAAGTTAAGTTAAGCTGTAGCATAAAATGCTAAGTATGTACGTAGATGAAGGACATTGATCTAGAGAGATTACATGCATAAGTATTAATTTATTTTAGTTTAGCTTAAGGAAGGCAGATAAATAATTGAGAGGTAGTTAAGTAGAATGATTTTACATTTTTATTCAAAACTCTTTTCTATCGGAAACTTGTTCAGATCTCTCTCAAATTATTTCTTAAACGGTTTGAATTTTATCAAATCTCTTACTACCACTTGTGAGATCTCTGTAAGGCTTTGAAATAATGATTTGCGAAGCGTTCGTAATCTTCTCTTTTATATTTTCTTCCTCTACATTCTTGCAACTACATCTATTATCCAGTGTGTTTACGCCTATCCGGCGCCTCGCGTGTGAACTGGTAAGAGAGTGGCCCGTAAAATTTGTTTGAGGAAAGTCATTTATTTTCAATTTAATATTAAGAGCAATGGTGTGCCCTTCCTGGTTAGGTATTCATGAGGGTTTTACAGAACTAAAGGTTGATAATTGGCTACCAGAGTGGTGTAAACTCTGATAAACTGTTCACACCTTTTAGTGCCATTTCCTAAACTAAAATAAAAATAAATAAAATATAAAAAATAAAAGAAAATTAAATTTTGAAAGAAAATTACAAAAGAAAAAACGCGTAGGACGAAAAAGCGAAAATTGTTTTTGCTTTCATTTAAAATCAAAGCCGAAGCAGCTCAAACCCTGCAAATAATTTTTATAGGAACTTGGAAACAAGAATATTACAAGAAAAATTAAAATTTTCTTAAGTGAAATTAAAATAAAAACAATGTTTTTCTTTTTTAAACAATAAAATCAGCAAATAAAAATAAAAAGGAAAAAGTAAATTACAAAAAAAAAATAAAAAATACATAAAATAACTTTCCAAAAATTTATTTAAATTAAAAAGTATATATATTTCTTTTAAAAAATTTTAATTAAAAAAAGAAAAACATTAAAATTTGCAAGTTTCCCTGACAGCTGGTGTCCGCGGTTGCATTTCAAACATAATAAATTTTTTTAGAATTTTAAAAATTTTGTAGCCGAACAAAAAACAGTAATAAATTTTTTTAGAATTTTAAAAATTTTGTAGCCGAACAAAAAACAAGATATATGTAAACACTATGTATATATGTATATTTTTGGTTGTTCTGTCTTTTTTTCACATTTCACATTTCCATTTGTTTATCGTACTAGCTGTCGGGCTTCTTAAATTGACTCTGGTAGCGAATGCATTCCGATTACGAATACAATTTTTTTCAATCGAGTACAGTGCAAATCATTGGAATTAACTGAATTAATTTTATCAACAAGTATTGGCTAACGTTTTTCATAAAAAATCTCTCATGTATAGAATTGTTTAGTATCATGTAATTACTAAGCCATAAAGTAAGAATAAGATACTCGCTGAAATTGGTTTAAACCCCAAAACCGGCAACGTGACCGTTACAATAAAAATATATGTATGTTTCTCAGTCATTTCTTAAAGTTGACGTATTCATTTATGGCATAAAATTGCCAGTTACTTATACATAAAGACTTTATTACTTAGCCCTAATTACGGTAAAATCGTCTTAGTCACTCACTGCATTTTGTTGTTAAAATTGCTGTTGTATTTTTTCGTCAATAATCAATTTTGAAACTGGAATTTTGGTAATAAGTAAATATGTTTGTTAACGTCTAATTGCAGACTTTTGGAACATTTCCATTAATTTCATATTTGCACATGTGTTAGAGGTTTCTTTGACACATCAGTACTTATAGAGGTTGCATTTTTTGGTGATTACTGATAAAAAAAAAAAAAGTCGAAATTCCCATTTGGGATAGGCAGTGGGCTATGTTTCTTAAATGTAAAGCTATAAAATTAAAAATTATTAGTAACAAGAGATCTGTGTGTGCAATTGTTTAACTAAAGGTTTTCTTATTTGGTTACAGTCATAAATTGATTTGTTAATCAATTCCATAAATGTAACAAACAAATTACTTATGCGAAGGTGTTTGCAAAATATGTACCAGTACTTGTTTTCGAATGTTTCCTTGAATTACAAATACAATTTAGTCTTTTATGTGATTGCTGCAGCTGCTTTCCAAAAATGTGCATCTAATAATTTTTGGTACGAAAAAGGAGTGAGTAGAAGGTTCAGCCAATGACAAAATGCCGAATTAATGACATTTAATTAATCGTAATGTAGTACTTCGTAGCCTTTTTTTTAATGCGGGATTAGGTGAAAACTTACAAAATCAGCTAAACAACATTTTTGACGATCTTGGTCAAGAAATAATTAAAACCAGTAAAATAACGGTATGAGAAAAAGGTGCTACTTTTACCAAAAATGCCGGCAATCAACAATGAGCGAAATGTGTCTCAAAATATATCGTTTGCGAGCTTCTTACTTCACAAATCGGTGGCTCTGCAGTTTAATGTCGCTTCTGATGGTCAGATGTTTTTTTATGAGCCGCTTTTTCATGGCAGAATAACAATGGCAGGTTTGTAATTTTTTGCCCACTACTTGGCTGACACTTCAAATGTTTCATCTTAAAAATATTTTTAAAAACTGCAATTTTTTAAATACTAGCTATGTTTCGCTAATACGAAAAGAAATGTGAATAAATAGCACTTACGAAATTATATGAATAAATAGTGCGATCAAACGGCTTTGATAATGATATGGATTGTCGTATTGATTAAGATATCGATATCGAAAAATTTATCGACGGAAATCTGGGTAATTACATCATATGTATTTCGGTCAGCAATCGACAAATATTGTGATGACTTTATAAAGAGACGTATCGATAATAATATCGACAGATGTATCGAATAGTGCTAATTTTGATGAAAGGTTTGTTGATTATGCTGTCGCCAACAGCTTCCGCTGCAGGTTGCTTTGAAAGCAATATAACCTTAAACGCTGAAGGATTCCAGAATGGCTCACAGAAAATTAGTAATTATAATATCTTTGAAAAAATACAATTAGCAGTGGGCTGCGAAATTAACGGCAGCCCTCTTACCTAGGCGGGGCTAAGTAGCGCCGCTACAACAACAACAACAACAACAACAACGAGCGGTGTCGAAGCATTCAAAGAAGCAAATTCTGAGGTACTAGACATAACCGTTGATGTACTAAATAGAGCATCAAAATCATATGTTCAACCGAAAATTTCTAGAAGCTCACTACCAAAGAAGCGTTGAAAAGAGAAGCAGCAGCATACAATTAGCACTTCTGTATACATTTCGCTTATAAATATATTTACATGAAACTTAACGCAATAATTTTACCTATTTACACATTTTTATATATATAGATTTAGTTTTTTTTATTGCTTGACTCCTTCCTTTATCATTTTTTTCAGTCTGAATCGAAAATCGTAACTATCGTAAAGTTGAATTTAGGTTCAAATTATAACCTACAGTGCATTCTAGAATACACAACTAGCTTGCATATTTCAAAAATTCTCAACTCTGCTCTTTTTTTTTTTCTTTTTCAGGACTACTACATCAACACAATTTACGCTGGCTGGCGTGATCTCATGGACAACAAATCCGATCCGCGCACACGAGATTGGCCATTAATGAGTTCACCCTTCCCCACCATTGCCATCAGTTTATCCTACGCATACTTTGTGAAGGTGAGTCAAGAAGAATGACGAAAAAACATAAAACAATTATTGAAACTAGTTTAGGTCCTAAAAACATTGAGTCGTACAAATGCACAATTTAAAAATGAAGAACTAATAGTGGCTGGTTTACATTCAAAAAATGAAACGAAAAGTACGAGTATGATTACAAATGCTAAGGCTACTACAAAGGAATTAAATATACTGCGCTAGCCATAGCGCAATTGAATAGACTAGGAACATAGAGTACTAAATACATATACAGTGACTCAAACAAATGATTACGAGCTAAATTTTTTGTTTGTTATTTTTATATAAAAAGATCGTCTAAGCTTTAACCTAACCAAGTTAAAAGCGGCAAAAAAAATTTTTGGTGATGGATTTTTGCACTTTTTTTCATATAAGTATGGATTTCCTATAAAATAAAACGCGGGAGACCGTCAGCAACAAAATTTCAAAATTTTCAACGCAAATTTTTTTAAATTGCGCTTGTTACATTAAAAAACACGAAAAAGTAGCTTCCAAAAAAAATTCTCAAAAATCAACGCTATTTCACTTCATTAGACTAAAATTGTATGGGCTATAAAACTGCATACCCTATAAATTCAGAATTGAAATTTTAATGAAAATTTGTTGAATTTTCCTAAATTTTGTTTAAAGTTTGAAACTATGATTTACACGGTTTTAAGCGAAGCTCTGCCGATATTTTTATATAAAAACCACAAAAAAATTTTATCTGAAAAACTTTTACGAATATTAAAAAAAAACACACGTGACCATTTGTTTGAGTCACTGTATATGATATCAAGTCAAACAAAAAATAAACAATGAAGCAAGCAGAATGCAAACTTTTTAGTTGACTTCTAAAACCTGTCTTGGTGGCCTGCACAGCTGCCTTATATTATATTTTCAGTCCGCATACTAGTTATAATTAGCTTCGGCATCCTTCTGGTTTTAGCCCTACGTAACTTTTTTTATGAGTGCATAAAAATACATGCGATGTCAACTTTATTCCTAGTGCTAAAACCGGTAAACTATTTTTTATAAATAGGGATTTTAAAGCTAGCATATGAAGTCATTCTAGGCTTTGCAAAAGTGTACATACATAGATAAACAAGTCAAAGCAAAAAACATACTTAAATTCTTATATAAAAATTTAAGATTATCTTTAATTTCATTATGATCCAATGCTCGGATTTAAACCAAATTAGTATGTGACCACCTGTGAGGTAACACCTTTCCTTAAAAAAAGAATTTTTAAAATCGGTTAACGTGGTCCTTTTTGTAAATTCGGTTAATAATAGGGATGCTTTCAAAATCATGTGAATCAACTTGCTTGAAAATCGTAAATAAGAAATTTTAGAGTCAAATGCGGCCACATTCGGAAAAGAGAGAACCAAAAGCATCGATAGCTATGTATATATTTTATACTAGTTAATCGGTCTGTTACATAGCAAGTTATTAACGATTTGCTAGCTACTTTTACTAATATTAAATTTTTTGTAGTAAACATACTTCCTAGAAAGCTTCCCTGATCGCGATAGAAATTGATAAGGAATTGACAATATGTGTAATAGTTAAGTACATTCTATGGTTTCTAATTTTTATACCAAAAAGCATAATCTATATACATATAATAAAATTGTAACTGACCGATGTCTGTACATTATAGATTTTAAAGAAAAATTACAGTAACAGAAGCCAAATCAATTATTTTTATAATTTTTGTCTGTCTGTCTATCTGTCTGTATGTTTGTACGCGCATCACTCAAAAACTAATACTCGATGTATTGAATGCAGCTTTCATCGGTGTATAAAGAAAAAATTAGGGAGTTGCCACCCGTATGAAAATTGCAGCTTAAGTAAATTGATAAGATAAAGTAAGTATTGCCATATGACAAAGAGGTGTTAGAATGCTTACAGCTGGAAATATTTTTGTTGAAGGTTGCCACCTGTTTGAAACATTTAATTTAATTTAATTGATTAAAAAATTCAATACTGAAATATGGGTATTAAACTGAATAGGTTTAAGAAAGCTTACAGTCGGAAATATTTTTGTTGAAGGTTGTCACCTGTTTGAAAATTTTAATTTAATTTAATTGATTAAAAAAATTAAATATTGAAATATGGATATCAAACTGAAGAGGTTTAAAAAAGCTTACTGCCGAAAATATTTATGAGGAAAGTTGCCATCTGTTTGAGAGTTTTAATTTATTTTAACTGATACAAAAAATTCAATATTGCAATATGGGAATGAAATTGAAGAGGTTTAGAAAAGTTTACTGCCGAAAATATTTTTGAGGAGGGTTGCCACCTATTTGAAACATTTTATTCAATAAAATTGACAAAATAAATGAAATATGTAATGAATAATAATGATTACTTTATTTGCCAAAATGTTTAATACGAAAAGCTAGTTTTGGTTACTCTCGCTAATTGCATGCTAATTTTCTATAAAAACTAAAGGATAACCAAATGTAAGGATATTTTAATTTGCTGCGTCCGAACAGAATAATGGCACAGGCCTACAAAAACTTAAGAAGTGTATATTTTTTGTTGATGCAATGAAGCAGATTTTCTTAACGATTTTTGGAAGATATACCTTTAAAAAAAAATTATGCATGTTCATATGTATGTATGTGAAAGCAACTAGATAGTTTAATCTAATTAATCAAAATACAAACATTTCAATGCTTTAACTGTAATAAAAATGCGGGTGAGATTCACAATTTATATCTTAGTTGTTGACAACACACCACACCCTTCTGCTCGTCAGCTTTCAACAGTTTATTGTGTGTGTGTGTTCACTTTTTGGTCAAATTGTTCGCACAGTGTTCGATTTTAATGAACAATTAATCTAAATTTTTCTTCTGCTGAAAAGCGCGCTGAAATGTTGGTCAAACATCTTTACATTTAATGGACCTATGTACATATTATATAGAACCGTTTTCACACTCACAAGTTATGCAACTCTCATTTTGAAACTATGTAAATAACTTTTAATTTTGGTACTGAAAGTCGATACTTAAAGCCGAAGTTGGCTGGAAATGGCATCGCATTCGACCAAAAGACGCCGACCAAATACATAATCTATGTAAAGTACCCTCCAGTCAACAGTGTAAGTTGCGAATTCGTTCCTGTGATTATACTTAATCTCTTCTTTGTATTGACTTGAAATTTTAACCTCTTTAAACAATATCCTTTATTTAAGCATTTTGCATGGATTATAGCATAGACAGTTGGCAACGTTATTCGCATTAACGGGACAGTTGATCCGATCAAAATTATACCCAGACAGGTGATAGTAAAGCGGCCTACATGTCCCAGTGGTCGTCAATGGCAAAAATCTATACAACCTTTTTTTTCTATTCCTAGCAGACTTCCGATTGAAAAGAATTGTTTGCGCGAGTGTTTTTTCGCAGAATAATCGATTATTATTGCACATTGATTCATATTTTAATTCATTTTTCGTGAAGTTCCAGCTGTTTTTGCTCGTGATTTCGCAGTTGAAAGAAAATTCGAAGAAATTTGCTTTCATTTTGTCATTAGTATTAAACAGCCATCCCGAGATGATCCGTCGTTCGATCGAGCATATAAAATTCGCTCATATGAATAAAGCCTTCGCAGAAGCGCTGAGTGAAACGAAGTGCCATTCAATCGATAATATGTCCCTTCAGATTGTGGGATCGCAGGGGGGGGGTTCTAAGTTTACCAACTTGTTTGGGTTTCTTTTGTTAGAAAGAGGAATGTTGCCTGCAACTTCTCCGAAAGTTCTGGATATGTAGCTCCACCTAATACAGAAATATTTCAACATGAAAATAAGTAGCAGGAAAAAAGTTTAGTTTTTTTTTTCGAATTTGGGGCTGCCTGGTAGGTAAAGGGAGGAAGCCACCCTTAGAAGTAAGGTAATTTCTGAAATTTGCATTATCTATCACCTTAACTTTATAAATTTTTGTTTAACCATTAAAATTGACAATTGTAACCAAAATTTGTATGCCTTCGTATTAGCAATAAAATTAATTACTAAATAAAAAAACTCAACAAAACTTCAGTAATGTAATTTTAAATAAATGAACTCATCGGCCAGTTGTACAAATTTACATTTATTTTAACAACTATTTTTTCACAACTCTCCCATTGTTTTGCAGCTACGACGCTGCGTAACAACGAACAATTCGCCCCTAAATTAATTGGCAACGTAAATTTTGTTAATTGCATAGTGTACAAATTAATTATATGTATGTCACCGTGTACATATATATTTATTTATGTACATATATGTATGTACCTAAGAAGATTTTATTAGCCAGCATTTTATCTCTTTTTCGTTTATTTCACTGACTTTGCCCAAAACCTTATTTGACTGCATTGAGAAATGTTTATTCACTTGATTGCCACCATTGCTATTTAGTACTAATTTTAGCTATATTATTGCGCACTTTAATTTATGTTGCAGCGCATTTTGCATATGAATTTCGGATGCTGCGCGCAGTGCTGGTTGAGTGATCATTCAGAGTGCCAAAACGCAGGTGGCAATTTCCGTCATCTTAAGTTTTTGTTGAAAGGCATACGTACATACATACATATGTATGTTTTATGTGTGCAGGTACATACAAACAAAAAAAAAAAATTAATATTTATTGCGTGTTTGGCCGAACTTTTTCTCCAATTTGTGGTTAAAGTTTTGGCGCTTTACTGCCACCATGGAGGGACCTACAACTTTTCAGCGCCTCCACGCGGCAAATGGTTTTGTTAAGGAAAGCTTTTTGTCAACTTAAATACTTTCGGCGGTTTGCTATTTTCTTGCCGGCCGACGACCGCCATTATACACGAATTTCGGTATCATTTGGTTGCTACGTTGAGCTGGCAGCGAACTTGGACCCCGACCAAGTAGTAGTTGCACCTCTAATCACACAGATAAATACTCGTGTGTATTCATTTGTTGTATGATCATCAAAATTTTAATATCATCAATTGTTTTTTTTTCTTTTAAATTTTTTCCCCTCTTTTTATTGCATTGGCACATTTAAGTGCAGCACCTCGATTTGCTTTCAGCAACTGTGCTCAATTCAAACTCAAAGGGTTTGACAGAAACTTGAATGTACGTATGTACGTATGCATGTTGCTATAGAAATACTTTATTTAACGTATGTATATTTACATACATATGTTGTACAAATGTGTATGCATACCATAGTACATATATACATACATACATATGTATATGTAGGTATGTGCGTATATTTTGTGTTTAGTTGTAATGATAATTTTGCAATAAGCGTTAATTTAAGTGGTTTTTTATATGACCAGCATTATTGGATGCCTCTCTGATTTCTTTCATTTTCTATGTTTCGTAGCATTGCGTTTTCTTAATTGTCATCTCTTTAAATTTTTTTTTGTTTGTGATTTCTTTGGCAGGTACTTGGTCCCAAAATGNAAAGATCCAGGTTTTTTTTTAAGCAAGTAACGTTAAATAAGTTATATGTATTAGAGGTTTACTTTAAAAGTAATTGCCGTCTGGAAACGACTGCGCTGCGGCCCATAAGGAAGATTCCAAAGAGCCATGAGGCTCTTGTCAAGGTCATCACATCTGCACCGTTCGTTCGATTTTCAAAAGTAAGGAGTCAAATTAAAGGGCTTGGGCTGTAGATGTGCAATAGCGTTTTACTTTTTCGAAAAGAGTTGCCACCTGTCAAGCAATTTAATTTTAATTATTAATCAGATCCACATCTTTCGTTCGATGTTTAAGGTCAGGTGTCAAATTAAAGGGCTTGGACTGCACATGTAAAATAAGGTTTTTTTCTT